AAGCTAGAGAACAGTATTTATTGAACATCCCTCGTAAAGTGAAATGTTGCAGCAAATTTAGTGCTGAGTTTAATGAGAAAACTAATGAACTCACCAGTCACCTGCTGGAAGAGAGGCTTGTGGAGGCTAAAAGCGTGTATGTATGAATCGAAGAGACGCCAAAATGGTGGGAGTAATATTCGGCTTACTCAATTATTATCTTGCGCTGGGGTTGGACAGCATGGAATCAGATCCTGCAAGATGATTAAGAGATATTGATAAGGGAGAATGGAAGAGGAAACGTTGATGATGTATTGTAGTGTGCTGTCCCGACGTTCGCCTGGAGTAGCTGAGGAAAACCGCAAAAATATAAATCAGGATAGCCGGTATCATTCTGAATCGAACCTTGGATATTCCGATAGTGAATCACAGGCCCTGCCTCTGTAATAAGCTGTTCTGTCTCACAGTTCTGAAGAAAGAGAACGAGGGACGTACAGGAAAACCACAAGAAAAAGGCAAGGCCATCAAAATTGGAGGTAGAGAGGAGCTTCATCTGCTCCATTTTCATTGCCCGTATCGTTCAAAGAGACGGCCGTGTCTGGAGCTGAGAACTTTGTAAGGCAGCCGTCTCTTGGTTCTAATGTGGATATGTAGGGTATTAGGGTTAACCGCCTCTTAACCCCAGCGGGCTTTGGAGGCGCGAGGGAAGGATTTGGTCATCTGATGCAGCTTTAAACAGTTTCATGGCTGACTGAGTAACCATTTCGCTGCAGTGCCATGATGATCTAACCCGTATACGCCACAAGTGTAACTCATCGACGCTGTTCGTGACCTGTGAAATTTGCACTCAAATTCCTGGAAGGGGCTGTGGTTTCGGAGGTTTGTATACCTGATCTTTCACATATAGCGTGTAGTAAAGTCTGGGGCTCTGGGGTGGAGGGGGTAATCTCGCTAATTTCATCTCCGGAAACCACAAGCAAGTCTTCTGCACCTGAGACGTCATTTTCCTTTGATAGTGATCTGACTGTCTCCGATCACAGTGACCGCTCGGTCTAAGGTATGAACTCTCTTCGCCCGCTCGAACACTGGGATCGTGGGTTCGAATCCCACTCGAGTCATGCATGTCTGTTTGCGTTTATNTGTGGTATTTTTGTCTTTTTTATATACCGGACGATGGGTGAAGTCCAAAATAAGCCAAAAGAAGTACTGTGATCGTGGGTTAGAATCTCACTTGAGTCATGCATATCTGTCTGCGTTTAGTGTGTGTTTGTGTTGTTCTGTGTGCAGGTAGGGGCATTGAGACGTGCTGATCTCCCGTCCAAGGAGTCCCACCGACTGTGTAAAAGATCAGGAAACTGAAAAAGCGGCCAAGCTTCAACAAAGGGCTGTAGAGCCATGGATGGACGGAGGCGTAGATGGATGGATAGTGATCTGACCTTCACTCATGGTTGATATGCTGCAATCAATGATGCCAACGAAAATTTAATAAGTTTCCTTGCTTGTTTAAAGTTGTTTCATATTTTATCTATAACATTTCGAAGAGACAGTAATTTGTTTTCTTCCAGATAATTTATAATAAGCACGTATAACTTCACGGAGTAGGGTCCCTTTTGGAAACCTGTTATTCGATCAGCTGATGAAGACATTCTTCACCCTTTTTGGACTCAAAGCTGCGTTACTGTGTTCGCGGGGAGTCACCCTACAACGATCCAGATAAATCTAGTCCATATTCTCTCACACGCTATTTCTGTATGACCCTCTTCAATATTATAACACAATTTAAGACTAGGTCTCTCAAATGGTCTTCTATTTTCAGGCTTTCTAACTAACTTTTTGTAAGAATTTCTCACTTATCTCACAGTTATACATGTTTGACCCATCAAATCCTCCTTTACTTGAGCGAACTAATAATATTTTCTCATAAGACCAAACTACGAAGCTCGGTATTACGCAGTTTCCCCTGGTGTTCCTATTTCTTACTCTCTCCTAAGTCAAAATATTCTGTTCATTTCTATTCTGTTCTGTTCTGTAACATCTTCAGTGTGAACTCTTACGTTATAGGACAGAACAAAACACACTCACGTACAAATTGAATATCCAAAACCAGAGTAGAAAAATGTACGGTACACCAATGTGACTTCTAGAACTGAGTTTTCTGTGTACCGCGTGCAGTGATTAAATAAACCATCATGACTCCGTCGTCAGCTCTTGGTTACGGAAAATGAGGTTCACAGCACGGCGGGAGGCCGCCATTAGGTTTGGGGGTGGTTTAAATAATATTCCATTATAGTATTCGTCTTGATACCCTGTCATCGCCATTAGACCGGTAGCTAGCTTTACTGGCTCTCCATGTTATGCCCTAATAGATTTTCTCCTTGAGATCCTGAGCCATCTATTTGGAAATACACACTCCTTCGTGAAGAACTCGAGCATTTTATAAAATTGATAAAGGAGAATAACCTTCATAAACAAGACTACCTTGCAAGTCTTTACGTTGTCAGTCTGTTCATCAAAATACTAGTGGAACAATTCTTATAGGTCACCAGAAAGACTCAGTATGGATCCTTCTTTCCCAGAATGCTCGCCTTTACAAGATGAAGACAGTATAATTATTGGAATCTGATTAACAAGTTTGTCCTTCCAGTTTGAGGATAATTCTGTCAGCAAAAAGAGGGTATGGTAATGGGAAATGGTCAGTAAAATATTTATGGAACACTTCGAGGAAATAGCATTGAATACAGCAGACCACAAATCCGCTAAATGGCTCAGATTCGTCGAAGACATTTTCCTGGTTTGACCAAGGGACCAGCAAGATTGCGGCAATTTCTTCACCGTCTCAACAGCGTTACACCTACCACCAAGTTCACAATGGAAGTTGAAGCTAATTATACCTTTCATTCTTCGACGTTTTGGTTATGAAGAAGACTACAAAACTGGCCACGAAAGTATACTAGGAAAGCTATTCACGCAGGTCGTTATCTGCACTTCAAGTCCAGTCATCCCCATCATGTGTAAAGGGGAGTTGTTCATAGTTAGATCAGTCGAGCCAAGGTCACATATCAGGATCAGAAGGATTTAAACAAGGAAATTAGTTACATAAGATATGATCTGATAATTAATAGACACAACAATTCGTTGGCTTCATAATGAAGCCATCAGGAAGCAACCGTCTTCCTTCAGATAAAATATACCAGGGCACGACCCTCATGTCAAGAGTATCTGAGAAATTCAGACACATGGGAAACCGTTTTAATGTCAGGATCATTTTCAAATCTAAACATACACTACGTGAAACACTGATGAAAACTGGACTGGTCTAGTGAAGCCCAGCAGATGAAGCAGTGTGTATAGAACTTCCATGTTGCAGGTGGTACATTGGCGAAACAAGCAGACCCTTAAAAGTATGCATTAAGGAGCACAAATATAACCTGTCCCAAATTCTGTTGAAAAATTAAAATTAGCTCAAAATGCCTAGGAAGAAGGCCACAAAATACGTTGAAGAAAGTGAATGTTTAGTGACTGGATCAAATACCACATAGAGGAAATATGAGGTATCTGCCCACCTGTCTCTGATAGATCAGCTGATGAGTTAACCCAGCTTGGACATCTCTCCCATCTGGACTCCCTTTATCGCAACAGTCAGAAAACTACAACTCCGTCCAGCGTAGATTACGTGTGAAAATTACGTTTGTTATGGTGGTACTATACAGAGAATTTGTTTATTTTGTGATTACTTATAGTCTGATAATATTCTAATTTTAATAATAGCCGTGAAATAGTGCATGGGCGTATGTGCTAGGCCTCGTATGTGTTGAGTTTTTTAGTGTTTTATGTTTGTTAGTATGCAGTGGTGTACTATCTCAACCTTCTGTAAAACTAGGGGCGACAGTCAAGGTTGCGTCAACCACCCTAGAAGCCTATACCCGCTTAAAGAGGGAGTATGGACTGGGTACTCTTCAAGGAGGGTGTTCTGGGTAGTAGTCGAATCTTATCTCTTACTCGTAGCGTTACTGGTTCTTCGGTGGTTATGATTCAAGGGAATAAACTTGTAATACTGTGCGTCTGCTGTTGTCCAGATTTATTTACATTATCTACGTACTCGTATGGGGGTGAATTAAGCTAAACAGTAACATATTTACCTAGCCTTAGGTAGGTCCCTACAATCATCTCTCTGGTCGTCAGTAATACTACTTGAATTCACTTACTTTGGATGCAGAAGAATGCGATACTGAACGGTACAGACGGTGTCCCCTGGCTCTTCGGGTGTGGTTTCTCTTGTGGCGTGATGGCGTCCAATCGGGCATAGCCCTTCCTAGCGACTGGCAAAATGTTTTGATACTAGACTGCCCATAGTCACCGATCTAAGGATTATATAATGGAAGATTTCTGCGAGTCAGCGTTTTTTCATACCTTTCAATAAACAGAGTTTTCTACAATTGTCGCGGCTGCGGGTTCAGCGTTTAAAAAATAGTCTTGCTACACGCTGGGCAAGCTGTGTTAGTTTACCCACCTTCTCCATTGCAATAGTTCGACGGGGCGCCTTGGAGCTCCGAAGTTCCCAATCTCCTCTCATTATGCCATAAGGGCTATATTTGTCTTAACTCTCGCAGGTGTTACATGCTGTGCTTGGTTTGTATATCCTACCTCGTGTTGGTGGTGATGTCCGGATACAGGGACTGGATATATGGATTGGTCCCAACTGCGAATGTTCCACCTGAAGACGGAGACAAAATTCAGACCCAGAAACCTTCTGTTTTAAATAAAAGCAGGTTGAAGCAGAGTAATTGTCTGCTTGATGCAGTTCAACATTTCCCGTTGGGAGTGTACAATTTGAACGTACTCCTGCAGACCACTCTGCCGACAGGTGAAAGGGTGAAATGGCAACTGTCTTACTGTTATTGAAACAGCACTTACTTGTAAGCGGCACATAAGAGCCGGAAGCCATGTATCAATACTTCAAGGTATTTTGCAACCCCGTGTATGTAGTAATCAATACAATTCTCTTTCTCTTTCCATTACAGGCTGGCAGTTCCGAGTACTGCCACCAGGCTGTGCTGACACTCATGATGGTAACAGAGAGCGACCAAGGGGAGTACGTGTTCCTGGTTCGATCCTCGCGGGGTCTGGCAGAGGGTACAGTCACCCTGAACGTGACGAGAGCTAGCAGTTTCTCAGTGGCTGCCGCCAGGGCGCACCATGTGACAGCAGCGGCTGTTGTCACAGCGCTCTATACCCTCTCAGCATGGCTTCTTACTTCAAACTTGAGTTAGAACCAGTCCAGAACCTCCTTCAACCAAAGCAGGACCTCCACTGTAAAAATAAAAAGCACCCTTTTGTTGTAGTCATGACTGAGCATTTATGTCTTGCTGCCTGTGAATTGATGAAGGAATTATTTTTGCGTAAAAATAAGCTGGAAGTAGCTTAATTGTGGCCTGTGAAAATTCCGTCAAAAACACGAAAAGAGAAATGAATAATTATTCGTAATCTACAAGGGATGAAAGTAAGTAAACCTGTAGTTAAAATATCAAATAATTATAACACAGTTGCTGTGCATATTAGGTTATGTTTCAGAAACAGGTTCTGATATAATATACAACCACTGTAACAAGAGTCATGTGTATATTCTGGGAAGGACACAGCACTAGCAACTTGTGTTTGTTACGCTGAGTACAATGCATATAACTTTGGAATGAACAGTGTTTTTCATTAACTAAAAGTATATTTTTGTATTAAATTTGCTGAGTGTCGGATTAAGTTGAGGTATATTCATTTTCATTCCTTTCTACATGCGTGATTGATACATATTAATTTACTAAAACATTCAGAGCAAGGATATATTATCTCACTAGGCCACCGATGTATGAGTACATGGTCTATAATAGCATTAGTATTTGATTTAATAATGTAATACAAATTAAATGATGTTTAGGACAATACAGGTAAATGCAAGATCTTGCAGTATTATGCAGTCTTTCTAAGATGCTTTGGATTATTGCTAAAATTGAGGGTATGTTGAAGAATATTGTTTGATATTAACAGATCTCTGAATAGTTAACAGAAGAATGTCAGTTCAGTTAATAAACTGGTTACCATTGGGTGAATTCCTGCAGTCCCTTTCTTCACAACTATGTCCTGAACAAGGCCCATCTTACAAATGGAAGAAATAAAGTCAGGCAACTTCAATTACATATTACTGTTTACATTAATTTAATATAATTATACACATGAATGACTACATATTCCTGCAAGTTCAGTACACAGGGAGTCTCTGACCTCTCACTAAGGAAATCTGGCTTCAGCATACAACATTTGTGACAGAAAACACCTGCAGAAATATTCTTGGAATTTTATTTTTCTTTTATTTACTCAACTATATAATGTTTAATTATCATCACCAGTATCATCACTATAACCATGGATTTTGTGCAGTTCCCATTGTGGCTTAATACTGTACAAACTCTCTTTTTGTCACCTGATATTTCTTCTTGCGTGTACAGCTATATTTGTATGTAGAGCTTATTTTTGTATGTGAATTTGCAACTGGTATGTTGTTATCTGGATCAAGCTTCACATGTAGTTACTATAGGATTCTGACAATGGTGTATAACACACAGAGATATTGGGTTTTCAGACTTTATCAATCGTCCTGGTTTTTAAGATAACTAAGAAAAAACACGACATGGTGTAATGTCATTTACGTAGTCTCTCATGCTGAGGAAACTACATAGATTTATGCTGCTTTAGAATTAGGTGCTAAGGAGAGTCTCTGGACCTAAATGAGATGAAGAAATAGAACGATGGTTAATATTACGTACTGAGGAGCGCCAGAATTTGTATTCACCCAGTATTAATAAGGTAATGTCTTGTAAACTGAGGAAGATGAGCTGGTTGGGAAGCATAATATGCATGGTATGCTGAGAAAATATTTCAGATTTGTAAAAAACACGTAAATAAGGAACCATTTTGAAAAACTAGGCATATGTGGGATAACCTTAAAGAAATAAGGGCGAGTATATGAACTGGGGTCAATGCTGAGGTTAGACTTCAGTGGCAGATTTTTTTAGCACTGTAGACTCCATGAAAGGCAGATGAATTTTAACAATCAAGTTCCTTCCGTCAAATGTGACACTTTTTTAAGTTTTCCACCTCGTCACCACCTGCCTTACATGTTTCGGCTCACCACGGAGCCATCATCAGAGGCATTTATAGTAGAAAAAATACTAATACTAATACTAATACTAATAATACTAATAATAGTATAAATAATACTATAAATGCCTCTGATGATGGCTCCGTGGTGAGCCGAAACATGTAAGGCAGGTGGTGACGAGGTGGAAAACTTAAAAAAGTGTCACATTTGACGGAAGGAACTTGATTGTTAAAATTTGTTAGTGTGACGGACCAGAATGAAAGACCTTAAAAAAAAAAAAAAGCAGATGAATTTCTTGACCAAAACAGCAATTCTTCTCCTCAGCCTCTTATTCTTATTCTTCTTCTTCGGCTATACGGTCCTTTTAAGTTTAACCGTTAGCTCCCTCACTTTACAAAATCTGAGTGTCTGTTTAAGGATTCCTTTGCATGGAATTAGATATGTTCTTTACATATGTCTTCATTTATCCACCTGTATGACAGTTCAATTTATATTAGTGATCTCATGTAAAAGTACCACCTCAGATGCTACTTTATTTCCATGACTTCGCAAAATGTCCTTTGTTTTTTGTTTGGTAAATTTGTATCTATTTTTCTGCATATTTATTTTGAATAATATGCTTAATATTATCAGTATAACTGATATAAATAAAATGGCAGCATACACATCACTCAAGCAGACCATGTCAAATTCCTCAGCACATGCTGTATGCTTCTGCCAATAATCTTAAGTTCGTTACCAAAATGAAACTTGAGATGAACCTAAATATACCAATTAAAATCATTTCCTTTATAGCCCTTAACTTGCTATATCAGACCACTTTATTTCTGAATAAACTAAAGAAGACAAATGAATATGTTGGTCTTTCAGTTACTTCTTAATGCTGTTATTACTGCTGGTATGCACTAAATTTGCTGCCTCTTAAATTGTGTAGATAGCACATGATTCAACAGAAGAACATCTTTACAGCTGTGGCAAGTAATCTGAACTATATAGCCTAATCATGGAATGTGGAGGAACGCATTCTATATATGATGCTTTATTTTGTCATAGCAGTTTGAAATAGTATTGAAGAAATTAGGAAATATTTCTTGAGATGATAATGTGCAATAGTTATTATATTTAATGGCAGGAGTCGTATCTCCGTCCTTACAAAACATGACCTCTCGTGTAAGGACAAAACAGTACCAAATTTTTGCACCACCTTGTTTATTCAGAGCAGGGATAGCGCAGTCAGTATAGCAACTGGCTATGGGCTGGATGACTGTAGGGTCAGAGTTCGAGTCCCAATAGGGACAAGAATTTTCTCCTCTCCAATTTGTCCAGATTGGCTCTGTGGCCCACGCAGCCTCCTGTCCAATGGGTACCTGGGACTTATTTCCCGGAGGTAAAGTGGTAGGGGCGTGAAGCTGACCACTAACTTCCAACTAGTACCGAGGTAAAGAAAATAATAGATCTCTACACCCACTCCCCCATACACCTTCATTGCTTACTGCTTAATTAGTTAAGCACAGGGACAACTTTAACTTTTTACCTTATACCGTTGTTTATTCTTTATTTACCCAATTACATATTGACTTTTCATGAACATTTATTTGGAACATTGTCACAAACGAAATGAAACCATTATTTTATTTGCATAGTGAGAAACGTCTTATGCTATTGCACTTATCCAGCAGAACAGATTTGTGTGCTGCAGGAAATATTCCACTCTGTTCCAGCTCTTGAAAGTGTTTTACCATGGTATGTTGGATTATTTGTGTTGCTGTTACTACAGTTGGCTAAGTTAACGTTTCTTCCAGTGTCCACATATCTGTAATTTATTGTCCAAAAGTCCTTAAATGCAGTTACTTGATCATACTATAACATCAATATGACATTACTTACCTTTGTGTTTCCTTACTACAGACTGAAATCTGTCCAAAAAGGCCATATGTGATTCCACACAAACCCGCATAACCAACTTACAGAAAATAGCATTAAAATTTTTCATTTTTTATCTGTAGTAATTACATAAAAGTTCTTATTTTTCTGTCTATAGTGATTGTGTTAATTAGTATCGTCTTGTTTTAGTTTTGTCACTGAGTTAACCTTTTTGAAGATGTTCATTTATTTATTTAGTTCTCCATGTGGCAGATGGGTAAACTACATAGTTAGTGTCAGATCAGTGCATCTGAAGTGAATGTGAAAGAGCGCTTCTACTTATGAATTTTAATGACCAGTAAGAAGTAAAAATATGATATGGTAAACTGACTAACAAGAAAATCCACTATATGGATTGCTAAATATTTAAGACAAAGAAAGAGGAGGAAGATTGTTCAGCAAGCAGTATACTTGTAAAGGAGAGAAGAGATTTTAAGTCCAATAGACTGGTACAAAATGTCGGTCATGGAGCCAAAACATGAGAAACAGTAAGGTGGACGAGATGTAATATAGAGGAGTAGCTATGTTATAGAGGGTTTACCATTTGCAACTTAATATCATTCTGCCAGTACACTAAGTATGTCATCAGTTGTGACAGATCACTTACTATATATATGCAACTGTAACAGATCTGTTGACCATAATTTATTATTGTTGTTCTCCTTATCATCAACATCATTATCATCGTCATCACCTCCATCACCATCATAATAATTAACACTGCTGTTATGCATATTGAGTCACTTGAGTCACTTGAAACAATAGGTTTATTACAACAAACTAATTTATTTTGTCATTTTGTTTTAGCTGTCACAAATCATAGTTGTATTTATTAGGTACTGGGTGCTACAACTTATAATTAAATGATGTTATGTAAGAAAAAGATGGACTTGAAAGAATTAGTTATGATGTGCCCAGTAGTATGTCATGTTCCTAAATACTGTAGTGAACATCAGACTAGTAAATAAACTGATGATATGCAATCACGCTGTGAAAAATAATGAAAATGAATTTTACTATACTGAACATGCAGAAAATTTTTGTTGCTTGAGTCGACAGTGAGTACTAACTTTGACAAAATGATGTTTAAGACTATCCATTATAAGGTGATCATAATTGAACTGAGGAATATTAAGAACATATCTGGCAGAAAATTGACTTGTCTCTAGTTAGATGTCTCAGTTAACTTCATGCACTGGTTTTCAAAATAATTTCATTCAGTTTAACTTGATAACTCTTTCTTTGTTAATGTTTCAGTTAAAAATTCGATGATTGTGTCATGATGTTTGCAGACCAGACTTAAAAAACATCCATTTTGTCAAGTTAATGTATAATGAAAATTATTTTGTTATACATGATTTTGCAGATTTGTCATATTGTAGAAAAATAATATTGTTCAGGGCCTCATTTTTATTCAAGATGTTCTGAAATATTAAACAAGTTCCAGTGAAGTACAAGTACAGAACTATAAAGAAGAAAGATAATTACGAAACAAATTCAAAGTGAACCATCTGTCATTATGATAATTCCATTATCGTGTCAAAAAGTGAATGTGAATCTAGACAAATGTTGACCGTTGAAGTGACAGAACAAGTAGAAAAAGGAGTCAATTAGAGCCGAACATGAATTCATTATTGAATTCCATGTATAAAACTTGTCACATTGCCATATAGCTGAGGCATAAATAAGTAAAAATGTTTAAATGATATCAGACTACGATGTCAAAGTTTCTGACAGTTATTAAGAGGTTCTGTCTGCAGAGAACTATAGCACAAGAGTTAAAAACTTTACCTTCCACTGCCATTTTGGATAATTCTCTTCATGGAAGTGAAGAAGTGTGTTTCAGAATGACATTATAAACTTTATGTCTGGCTAGGGTATAAGAGATTAACAGTTCATGAATGAAACTATCTAAGAGCTCAGTTGTTTGTGTATAAAACTTAATCCATTGTAAATTAATATATATATAAGATATCTAAAAATGACACCAAAATAAGGAGATTTGTGTTATCACTGTATACGTCCAATAAAATACGTTGTGACTTTAAATATTTATAATTTAAACTGTAAGGGAAAGTTTACATAGGATGTGATCACAGCATGAAATATCCAAATTATGGCTTTCTGGGATGTGATGTCGTGTAGTTTGGTAGGTAGGTGGGTACCACGTGACTCTTGTTGTTTGGTAGGAAAGTAACTTGTGCCACCTTGTGGTTTGATAGTTATTGGTATAACGCAATGTATCCATTGTGACACAGTGCAGTGTGGTAGAGAGAGACCCCATTTTGACGTTATGTAGTTGAGTAAAAAGGTAAATCTATCCCTATAACGGGCCATGGAAACCCATAAGGTTGTGAGACATCGAGGCTCCCGCATTTTCTCTAGGCAATCAGCCCACAGAGGGCAGTAAGGTTATCAGCCTTACGCGCCGGCCGCCTTTTACCCGCCAAGAGAATTCCTAGTGCTCATTTCTGTTACGGGCTGAGTCGAACCCAGGCCCATAGTGCAGCTGGAAGAATTAAGTAAATTAAAAAATCCAATGACACCAGGTATCAAACCCGCGATCTTCCGAATTGTAGCATAGTGCCTCGACCAATTACGCTACCGCATGCCCCTGTGCAGTTCAGATTCTGCATATTTACCGAAGTACATAACGTCACATGCCAGGACACCGTAACCACATAAAAGAGATGCTTTCTACTTATAACTGCATTTCTCTTTAAAAACATTCTAGTAGCTTCCGGTGTTCTCTTCATTCTATCTAGAGGGAATGCAGCAATAGGATATACATATTATTCTCACGGTCCCAAGCAGTGTTTTCCCTAATTTAATCGAAAGATGTGACGCGCCTCCTCAAAAAGTGACATATTTAATTTTAATGAAGTTATAAATTGCTCTCAGGCTAAAATCCTATTTCCATTTGCTGACGCACTTATAGAGACTACAGCCTTAGGCAATGCTATTTTCGGTCTGGAAATATACCGGAAATCATTGTTGAGTACCGGCAAACTTGTCACACATCGCTCATTTACTGTTACATTTATATTTCAACCTTGAGGCAAAAATAGAGTGTGAGAGTATCGGTAAACATGTTCCCAGAAAAGGTATTGGTCGTAAGTAAGTAATGGGCCCTAAGAGAGTTATACATAAAATATTTATCCAACTTCGTAAGAAACTTTATTTTTCAAGTGTCTATGTGTGCACGCGCTTGGTTTTAATAGTTTCTCATATATTTATGGAAAATGTACGGTTGTGATACCACAATGTCGTGGAATATTGTACTGGAGTGCCATTTTTTATTAGATATAAAAAATAGGGAATATTCTTCTGTTTACCGTAACATATATGACAAGGCATGGGTAAGAAGTAACAGTTTTTCAGGTATAAGAAAGTAGGTTAATTTAATTCGGGTAATGCTTGCTAAGATTCAGTCCAGAACCTTTTGTCTTCTTGTCTGCTGTCTCAAAACTTAAAAATTAGAATGTACAGAACTATAATTTTTCCTGCTGTTTTGTATGGGTCTGAAACTTGGTCTTTGAAATTAAGGGAGGAACATAGACTGAGGGTGTTTGAGAACAGGGTGCTGAGGAGAATGTTTGGACCGAAGAGAGATGAAGTGACAGGAGGTTGGAGAGAAGTAAATAATGAGGAGCTTCATAACTTTTACTTTTCCCCGAGTATAATTAGAATGATCGAGGTGGGCACGGCATGTAGCACACATGGGGAGAATATGAATTTGTATAGGATTCTTGTGGTAAAGGTAAAATGAAAGAGACCACTAGGGAGACTTAGACATATGTGGGTGGACAATTGTAAACTGGATATTAGAGAGATAGAATGGGATGATATGAACTGAATGGACTTGACTCAGGACATGGACCAGTGGAGGGCAATTATAAACACGGCAATGAACCTTTGATGTTGCGTCAAATATTCAATGGTACGAACTAATTCCTCATAAAGCAACTGTTTTTATACCTTGCTTAGTACGACATGCACAAATGCATCAACCTCGTATGTAACGTCATTTTCATTCCTGAATTTCTCTGATATGGACATTGAACGTAATTTAGAAAGTGTATATTGGGCAAGTAACAGGAAACAGATGAAGATAACTGATTAGTGTACTCGTATCTAGGTACAGTAAGGCACAACAATTGATGTAATCTACTGTAATTTGGTGAGTAGGCCTACCTTTAATATACAGTATTAGTGCGGTGTGTATTGTCAGTGAAAAGCGCTGTAATATGTCTTTGATATTACACATTTGGGCAATTCCACGTTAATGTTACGTTAGTCTGTACTTAACTACGTATTTCACTAAAAAATGCAACATTTTAACTCGGTTTTTGGTAGATTTTTACGTGACTAACATAAGGCTACTGTGGAAGTGCCCATTTCGGTTACAACGACATTCGTTTATAACGACACTATTTTTAGGTCCCTTTGATGACGTTATAACCAAGTTCTACTGTAATTCCATTAGGAGATGGGATGGCGTAGTCGGTACGACTGCGTACGGGCTGGACGACCGAGAAGTCGGAGTTCAAATCACGGTAGAATCAAGAATTTTCATTTCTCCATGTCGTCCAGACCGGCCCTTGAGTAGACCCAACCTCCTATGTAACGGATACGGGGGGCTCTTTCCCGGGGATAAAGCGGCCGGGGCGTGAAGCTGATCACTCATCTCCAACTAGTGCCGAGGTCAAGAAAATTTGAATCAATACATCCACTCCCCCATACGCCTTCTTGGCGTAGTGCTTAATTAGTTAAGCACATGGACAACTTCACCTTACTATTCACCTATACGTCCATTGGTCAGAATGTCTTAGAAGCTGGTAATCGCTCAGCCCGTCAAGGAAATAACCGCCTCTTTGAGAGTCCAGACGTCAACTTTCATCTTTCCAAGAGCCTCTGTCTTCTGTTCTACACGTAAAGTAAGTATTAAAATTAAGTAGTGAATAAACAAGTGTTGCAACATTGACGGACGATTAAGACATGGACGTTAAGTAAGTAAAGTAAAGGTATTCCTGTAACAGGCCATGGCGGCCCATAGAATTGTGAGATGTTGAGGTTTCCAGATTTCCTACAGAGTCGGCTTATAGATGGCGGTAAGGTTGTCAGCCTTACGCGCCGGCCGCCCTTTACCCCCAAGAATATTCCTGGTACTCATTTCTGTTAGAGGCTGAGTCGACCCCAGGGCCATAGTGCGGCTGGAAGGATTAGGTTCCGTTCTACATGTAAGGTTCTCCTTAACTTCCAAATGAAACCGTGTACATATTCCTCAGCTCTTAAATGGGCGTGCTCTATTCTGCGTCGACTCTCTCCTCTTTAATTTGATCATCTTAATAATGTTAAGTGGAAAGCAAGAGTTATTAAGCTTCTCGTCATGGAATTCTTGACACCCTCCCATTACTTCTTTTCTTACTGATTCGAATAATCTTTTCAGCACCATCTTCTTAAACACCTCACAATCCATCTATGAATAACACTAAAATCAAGGCATCTTTGAATAAGCAGTGTGATTCGAAAATCACTTTATTCCAGAACCGCTGCATAGGTCTATTTTTTACTTGTTTCATTTTGTTACAGCCTGGATGGCGTTTTATATTCAGTTAACTTTTATTTTTCAACCCTTATTAAATATACGATATTTAACAGAGGCTACATTGCTGTCTAGTCTATCTGTGATTGATTCCACTTTGCTACACAACCGGAATTCTCTGCAGCAAAAGCCAATATTAATCCTCGGAGAAGGATCTATGGATTTGAGTGTATTTAGTAGTGATTAATGCGAAGTTTGCATCTCTTCAGAGCATATTTTGGTCCTTACATGCACTGCACTACATTCTTTCAGCACAGTATACAAGTACATTAGACTAAGTATTTCATATAATTCCCATAACTACTTTCTGCAAAGTAGATGCAGAAAATTCCACGTTAGGTATAAAATGAATTTATATATGTTATTCTTATAAAATTCATGCTTCATAGTGAGAGGATCTTGTTTATAGAAGGGGTTTACACCTCCATCGTTCTCAGTGTCTTGACTGATATATCGAATATTGTATCCAAGAAAATTCCTTTTGTTTCCAATTTCACAGAGCAGAATGAGTGAGAAGCTGACAGTCAGCTGGTCAAGAAATTATTTTAACTTAAAATCTTTACCGCGCTCAAAATATCTCACCACTGAACCCTATCCAGCCTATGTCCTCACACCTTATTCCTTTAAGATATATTTGCTTGCTGCCCTCACTCTTGCACCTACGTCTCACAAACTTTCTAGCAACATAGCTGTTTGTGAAGTTGCTTACTGATCTGCAGCTGCAGTAACTGAATTTTAGACGTGCCCCATGAAGTGAAACCCTGTATAAACTACTGTATGGGAGTACGGGGAAGAAGCAATGATTCCCTTTATCCTAGTCTAAAGATATAGCACACTTGTAGCCATTCATCCATCTCAGCTGTCTATTTATCCGCTTGGTAAGTCGCAATCGATTGTTGGCCGCTAAGGTCGATTACTTCACAACCTTATTTTGACGTCATGAACCAACTTCGTCTTCTCCAAAGCTTTCCCATTTCACTGAGGTTCAGTGTTTGTAGGATGGGATTCCAACTCCATTAAATCAATTTAAACTGTAAAGAAATGTTCTTTGTCGTTTGGGAACAATGTCTTAGTGAATAAATGAACTGTTTCTCTCCACGTGTTTTTGCACATACATAAAATATTTTGCTGTCCCTTTCTCGAAAATCCAGTCCCTTAGTCGGATAGTATTGATGGTATTGATGGTCTTCATTCGGTAGAGTCAATTTTGCTCAGATAAAAGATAGTCTCTTCCTCCAGTTTGGATGTAAGTAATCCTAATCAGGAATAGTCATTTCAGCTAATTCTATGCTTTCTCCCCCTTTAAGGTTTCATATCTGTGAAAATGAAACGAATATTTTTCATATTTATATCCACTCCGGAACAAGACAGATACGTGCCGTCTACCCATTCGGTTAAATTAAAAGTTCTTAGGTAATAATTCGATAAATTATTATTTCTT